GTGTTGTGGCACGGATATAGTGGGTTTGATAGACACTCCATCTTCATAGGGACACAGATTTATTCTCGCAGCCACAGATTACTTCTCCAAGTGGGCAGAGGCAGTGCCATTAAGGGAGACTACAAAGAACCACATTTTTAAGTTTTTCAAGAGTCAAATTGTCATTCGTTTTGGCATCACACGCATAGTTATTTCTGATAACGAGTCAGCCTTCAAGAGCACCAAGATCAACAATTTTGTTAAACGACATGGGATAGATTAGAGGTACTCTATGATTTACTATCCTAGAGTGAACAGCATAGCTGAGGCCTTCAATAAGATGCTCGTGCAAAGTCTTAAGAAATTGGACAAAAATAAGAAGGGATGACACGAGAAGCTGTTAGAGGCTTTGTGGGCCTACTGGACAACGTTCAAAACCCCTACTCTGTATACATAATATACGCTCATTTATGGGTCTAAGGCAGTACACCTACTGGAAGTTCAGCTACTATCTCTCAGAGTCATGATCACTAACCAAATTATAGTTAAAGACAACTGTAAGTTCCAACTTACAGAATTGGAAAGCCTTGAAAGAAAATGAATAGAAGCACAACAGAATCTAGAACTCTATCAAACAAAGATGATCCAGGCCCACGATAAACTTCTTCGCCCAAGGACATTCAATATCGGTGAACTCATACTCATTCTTAGAAGACCTATCATTGCACACTGCAGGAAAGGTGGAAAGTTTGAACCAACTTGTGAGGGACCATTTGTCATGGAGAAAGTTTATTCAGGAGGATCTTACAAGTTAGTGGATTTCTAGGGTAAAAGGCCCATGATACCGGTCAATGGGTGATATTTGAAGAAGTATAATATGACTTAATGTTCTCCAGGGTGAATTTTTTAAAGTGATACTTGTTCTGAAGATGGCTATTTGGCGAGCATCTGTGACTAGGTCCAAATATTTGTAATAAGATCTCTTTTAATAAAATAAAATCTAAATTTGTACTTTTAAATCATACCTTTAATTTTGAAGTTTACTAAATTAAATTAAATAAGATGCTTGCACCCGTATAATCCTAAAATCCCACTTAATGATAATTTGTTTATTGTTCTTGTTCTTTTTGAATTTCAGCACGCTGATGTTTTCCTGTCTTTTGCTAGAAAATATTTGGTCAGAAGATGATCTTCTCCTTTAAAGATGGCTTTAATCTCACAATTGACAAAGAGAAGGTAGCACAGGGCGGCTTTGTGAGTTTTGAATTGGACTACTGTCAACTCATTGTAGCTAGGAAGGCCCATATACGAGTATATTCAGCCACCGAGAAACATATGAGCTATAGCCATAGTTGAGAATCAGTGTTATAAAGGACTCAACATTGAAGAGAGAGAAGATAGAAACATTTCCAGGTGTGCAAGACCTAATGGAAAGGGTCGGTCACTTGTAGTTGAAGATTACAACGCCGATGGGGAACTTAGTCAGTCCTTCCACAGAAAGGATTTGTGATGCACCAATGAGAAGGACACGGCTTAGAAATGCCAACTGTCGCAAGCACAGAGCCTTGAAGTGACTAGAAAAAATACGTGCCAAGGAAGCATCTATGATGTTTGCTTCAATTCATGAAGAAGAAGTCTACAACCCAAACATGGAAGAGACTTCCACCACTTTGCCAATCACAGAGGATGAGCCAGAGACATTTACAAGGCCTGCATCTTCAGGGATCCCAATGAGAACACCATCAGCAGGATATTTGCTGAATGCTCGGAGTGAAACATCTACCACCAGGAGAGTAGAGGACATTTGAAGAATACGCAACCACCAGCATGAGGTTTAGATGTGCAGACCACCCAGAGGTCGAGCCATACATACCACATTTTATAGAGCCTCCATCGCCTTGGATTCCTCTAGTGGATGAGACTGAGGAGTGACCCTGATGTTTGCAAAGGAACCCTACGTAAGAGTTAGAAAGGATGAGCAAGGTCTAGAAGCAAATGTTTGAGTATTATGAGGAAGTTTAAGGAAAATTTGTTAATATTCTGGAAGGATTGGAGCTACACACTAGAGTATTCTCAGAAAGAAATGAAAGAAAGGTTCTGGATTGCATTTTTAATTTAAGGGATAGAGGCTGAGCTAGTTTATTGAAGAAGACATATTTAGAACCACAAAAATTGATACGTAGAAAAGGAAGGATCACTATCCAGTGTGGTTGTTGTTGCAACTTTATGAAAGACAGGAAAGAGAACCCCCCGGGCATTCTGAGATAAGACGAGGTATATCCCCTACCATTTGCGATAAAGAACATGATCAAGAGGATGGTATACTTCCAGTAGAGTGCATTCCGAATAGCTATATCATCAACATCTATGAGGAAGGTGACTGCATTCCTCCTCATATAGATCACCAAGACTTTGTCAGACCATTTTGTACAGTATCTTTCATGAGTAAGAGCAATATATTGTTAAGAAGAGAGATAAATATTATAAGACCCATATAATTTACAGGTTTAGTTAAAATTCCACTATCAGTTGGTTCAGTGCTGATTTTAAAAGGTAATGGAGCAGACCTGACCAAGCATTGCATTTCTGTTGTGTACGCCATAGAGTTTCAGTTACATTGCAAAGAATGGACAATAACAAGATACCATACGGATTCCAGCCAGACCTAGAGTTAGAAGAGTTATGCCCATATGAGCTGTGAGATAGTTGTACTTTTAAGTATAAGTGAAAGGACCTTTGTCCTGAAGCATGCCTTAGAAGGTTAGCTTGATCACGAGCTTACCCCAGGGGACATAAACTTATTACTTTTTCACTGGGTCAAAGAAGAAAGGATATGATAGATGATATTACATCTTCCACCGCTGTATTCATAAAATTGTTTTTGGACATTTTTGACATATGATCGGTTCTACTACATGTTTGAAGCCATTTAACAAAGTTCATTTTGGATTTCAGAATATATTGTTAACTTGTATCTTTTGTGTGATTGATGAAAAGTTGCATGACCACAAGTTGGTCCTAAATTATGACGAACAAATAATGATACAAAGAAATCTAATAATGAATGAAAACTAAGATTCAAAATTAAAGGAAAATATAAGGAAATTGAATTTGATAATCTTAATAACATAGATGATAAGAAATAAATAATGATTTTTCTTGATATTCCGCACTCTGCGTCTCCCTTACATCCCGTGTTCTCTGCACGAATTTAGACAACTCACACTTTGCACAAATTTGACAAGCCTTCGTATTCTTTTCACAAAGTTTCACTATGCACAAGATTCCATACATTTTTTGTACTCTTTCCACAAATACTCCGCACTCACAATGCTTTTTGAATCAATACCTAAATTCTGATTCCCATCTCGTGAGATATGTGTGAGACCCCTTTAAAAGAAGTAAGACGTCATATTCTTAACCTTTCAAGACAGGTGTTAGACCCCCTTAAATGTAGTAATGCTTTAACCTTTCAAGACAGGTGTTAGGCCCCCTTAAATGTAGTAATGCTTCTGATTCTCATATTTCCGGGGTTGGTACCTAAATTCTAATTCCCATTCTGGGATCAGTACCTAAATTGTAATTCCCATTACTTGAAATAGGTGTGAGACCTCTTTAAATGGAGTAAGACATCCTATTCTCATCGGCGAGGGGAACAGTGGCGAAGCTCGCGGCATCGCCCACTACAGCTCTGATTTCTTCGCCAGCATTCTTGGAGGCGGCCGGAGGCTTTTGCTGGGGGTGGTTTTGGTGTCGAGATTCAGCACCGTGCTAGAAAGGCAAATTCAATTTTGTTCAAAGATGTTTTCTTTTTCCGTTTTCATTCTGCTTGGACGAATGCTTCCTCTGGATTGAAGGAAATAAAATTGCAATATTTACTTTAAAATATGTAATTCCTTATCTCAACTTCCTAACCGTCCCGCACATCCGCAAATTCTGCATTCTTGATAACGAAAGTGGTATTTTAATTGAATTTCTTATAAACTATATCAAATTTTTTAACATTTTGTTTTGCAAAATAATAACAAATTTAAGTAAAAAAATTGATTGAATATTAAAAGCTTCTAATTCTAGATTTTGTGTTCAAACCTACAAGTACATTCCGATTAAAAAATAGCTTAAAATTTGTTCAGCTTTTGCTGCCTTTGATTCTTTAAATTACTGTATATTAAATTGTAAGATTGAACTTTGGTAAATTTAAAGTGGATGCATGTTGAATACAATTTAAGCATGAATGGTTGCATAAATTTGATTAGACGTGAGGTCAATTTATTTTTAGATTTTGTTGAGAATTAGATCTTATTTAGGGGTCCTATTGGTAATGAGAGAATATTGAAGGAGCTAGGGGTTTATTTGTAAAATCATTGTAATATCCTATTTAACCCCTTGTTGTAAATGTAAAGAATAGGTTTTTTTTGAAAAATTCTTAGTTTAGTGAGGGTCGTCTCTTATTTTTTAACTGTTCTGAATATGTTTTCTGCTTCTCAAGTATCAAATATATTGATATGACAATTCTATTGTAAATAACTTTACTGTACATGGGCGGAATAATCATTTATTCAGAAATAATTGCAAATCAGCTATTTTCAAACAGCTTATCCGAATAAGTTGTTGATTAGCAGCTTATCATGATCAGCTACTTAATAACAGATTATTCAATAAATTGTAGGTAACTACAAACAAGCCCTAAGATATTACCTAAAATACTTCTTTTTACATATTTTTATTTTGAATTTACAACGCCACACAATTTTTCTGCATTTAAATATTAAACATCTAAACTTTAATTTTTATTTATATATCATCTTGTTTATGCATTAAAATATTTATTTCATTTTTTTACATTTAAAATAAGATTAATTTTAATTTAATATGAAAGTTTTTGATAGCATAAATGTAAGAAGATAAAGCTAGATACTAGAAATGTAAGAACATAAAAATTAGGCGGTTTACATGTAGATGCTCTTTTTATTTTCAAGTATTTGATAAAATGATCTGTTAAGAAGGAAAGGAGAGGGTGCTTTTAGTTATTTATTTATTTTATAATTCATTTAAAATATATATACATATGTGATGGTTGAGTAGTAACTTACAACAATTGCTGAGAGATCATGCAATCAAGTTTCGTTGATAGGGCATATTCTTTTTTTTCTTGGGTCGCCACAATTTGCCATTGCTCCCTGTCTACAAAACTTAGATTGCATGATCAGCAATTATGATAAACTCCTAGTCAACCATCACATATTTATTGTTCTTTTTCATACCTTAAACCATCTAAAGTAATAAATAAATTAAACATGCAAGTAATGAAAAAGAAGCTACAAGTTGCAGTAGAACCGCCCATCTCCTCGCCTCCTCCCTCCGCTCATTTTCATACCAGCGGTTCTGCTCCAACCCTGGCATCCATAATCTAGGATGCGGCCACTCCCAGAGAGCGGACAGACTCCCAATCTCCGGCGGCAGCTCACCATCACCATTTCCTCTTTGCTCCTCACCGGCAGCCTCGTTGTCATCTGGTAGCTTAAACCTACATATAGGACATGAGTTATGCAGTCTCAGCCACGGCACAATGCAGTCAGAGTGGTATACGTGCTGGCAGGGCATCTCCCTCGCCTCTTCCCCGACGGTGAAGTCTTCTTTGCAGACAGAGCACTGCGAGCCTTCTTTGAGATGATCTGCGGTGATGGCCACGGTCGGCAATGCTTGGATTGAGGATGTTGGTGCAGGCGGCTGCCCCGGACGGTCATTCTGTGTGGCACTCTCGATGAACTCGTTAAGGTTGGGGCCAGTGTGATAGTCCTGGGGATGAACTGTGCCGGGAAGAGAAGCAGTCGCGGGTAGGGGCGTTGACGGAAGAAGCAGGGGCGATGGCGGAAGAAGCAGGGGCGGTTGGTATTCATGGACGACGTTGATCAGGGAGCAGCGGGGGCAGAGGACGGGAAGGTTGGTGGACAGCGGGAGAATGACGGGGATGGTATGGAGGCAGTGGTGGCACCAAAAGAGGCGGAAGGAACGGTGCAGGTCTGTTTGGAGAAGGGGAGGGCGGCGCAAGGACATTGGCCTGGATGGACTGAAGGAAGAGGAAACGTGAAGTTTTTTTGTATTGGAGTGTGTTTAATAGGTAAAAGAAGTAAGGAGAACTACGGGTGAAAGGATTTCTTGGTGGAAGGTGCAAAGGGATGCCGGCGGGGCTTAATTGGCTTGTTGGCCAACTTCTCTGCCGTGGCGTTTAAACTATGAATTTTGATTTAGAATCGCCCGTAGCAGAATGAGGTAGGAAACAAGTGGTGCTCTGCTGAGAAGTTCTATTGCTCTTGGTTGCTTGGTTTGCTGCCTGGGAGAATTAATATACACATTTGGATGATTATCACCAAATGTTATATTTATTATTACGCAAAAATTTAACATAATCTATTTCAACTTCCTACTCTTTCATTTGGTTAGCAGGAAATATTACGGCTAAAATTTGGCACTAATCAAATATATAAAATATTATTTTATTGTCTAAAAAATTGGAGAAGCATGAAGTCCGACCTAACCCATATGCACTATATAGTTGTTTGAATGTATTTCTTCGATAAAGTCATATTGCACATTATGGCTTTCACATTGGACTGTTTATTTGGATGATTTTCTTAATACAACATGGTTGTACTGAAAAAAAACCATTCATATAACTATACTAAACACGCTGGTAGGATGGGTTTCAGGATTCTCCGCTTTTCAGACAATGAAATTTTATATATTTGATACGTGTCAATTTTTAATTAGAGTTCAGACGTAATTCTAATTCAGACTCTGGACGTAATATCTTCTTGTTCATTACTCTTTTTTAATTTTTTACTCTTCCTCCTCATTAACCTTCCCTAAAGGCCAAAAAATATATGTAGCCTAATATGGTTAGCATATACCACACTGGGTTCTACAAAATTCACTATAAAATCAAATGCATGTTAAGAGAAACAATATGTATGATTATAGTTTTTAAAATAAATGAGACGTATCTTGTGCATATAACAACAATGTTAATGTTTTAATAGTGAATCACCGCAATAAACATGATTAAAAGGCATGTTATTAGTACATTATTGAATAACAAGTAAATAAAATTTATCAATAATGCAATGGTGATTCAAAATGGAAAAGGTAATTGAATGCTAAAATTCATATAACAAATAATTCTTTCAGCACTTATCACATTTCGTTGTACCAAGGAGGCTATCCCTAAATTAATGCGGGTCGTCACCACTTTTTTTTTGTTAGACCATAATTTACACTAATCCTAATTAAATGTAAATATTTTATCTATCTCTGTGACACGCGTTGTCTCCTTACTTACGCTTGCCTTCTCATTATTAATATGGATAAAGTTGTTAACTTGCATACCCTCAAGATGATTTCATAAAAAGATAATTCTTTTGGCCATTTTAGCCTCTTTTATATCACATTTATATATTAGAGTGCATTCATAGAGCCCCCCTATTCACATAATTTTTGTCATTTAATATAAAATACATTGTAATGAACTTTTTTCTTATGCTTTTTTTTCTTGTGTTACAATCTTGAATTCAATGTTGTTTTCTACGATTCACACATGAATACTTATAAAAGATAGATGCAAAATTATTTCTAGGATTTTTTAATTTGTAGGAGTACTCATAAGATGCTTCATAGCACATAAAACCATCTATAAATAATAACTTAGGTTTTATGCATAAGATAAATCTAAATGTGCCTTCTCACACTACACTTTAGTTAATGAGCCATTGTTCTATCATAGGATAATTTTCCTTCTCGCAGATACTCTAAAAGTGGTTGTCTCCAATCAGCTAAGTCTTCAACTGTGGATACAGCAATTTGTTCTCTATGTCAATCAAAATACTCCATGTCGATTAGAGAGAGGACCCGAAAACCCTGGACTTCAATCGGTGTTAATTTTGTTTTCAAGCACAATATCACTTTAGCCAACTTTGCAAAACCATCAACAATGGTATTACTACCAAGGGGAAGTGACATTAGGAATCTGTTTAAGTTAGCTCATCTATATTGATAAAATTGATGTTGTTGAAGTTTGAAAATCTTGTAGGTTCCAATAATATGTTTAAACACTAATTCTTAAAATTTAAAAAACTTTAACCATGTGAATGTTTATTAGAATGGTTAGATGTAAAGTAGTAATCAGAGATTCATATTCTAATTCTTTGTTAGTACATGGATCTAACAAATGGTAGCTGAATCTCATCATTCCCCACTCATTGGTTACAAATAAAAGTCATATCTCGGTTTTCCTATAGATAACCACTTTTGTATTGGGTTCTTTCTTAGCCTACAGAACATCTTCAAAATAAAACCCCTAACACGTTTTCTCTTTTTCTTCTAGTGTTATGATTTTTTCATAAGGTAAATCATCATTGAAAGGAGGATTACTGTGTAAAAAATGTGCTGCTTAGAAATCTACCAAATCTTGGCCTTTAGTAACACACAAGAGAATGAAGGTTATTTCAAATTGTAATAGGATCATTGAACAACATACTCTTTTTTTAGATAGAGTTAGGTGATCAAATAGTACAATAACTTAAACCAAGAGATAAGGCTGATTTTATGAGAGAGAATATAATACGTTAACTTTTAGATATCAAAATCAAGGATAGACACTGCTTTTTGATAAAAAAAAAGTTTCCTTTGGCTAGGATAAATAAAATATTTAAATAATAATGTGCATTTTCCTTGCCTATCTCCTTATTTAGGTCAGTGATGAGCCAAGGAACTCATGTAAAACTGAAATGTAACGATTTACCACTGTTTGGATAGGGGCATCTAATACTAGAGGTATCATCTAATATTATTTAATGTTTTCAAAGGCCTGTAGATAATCATCATCTAAATTTAACTTAATTTTCTTCTTAATTTAAGAAAAAAATTGATGACACCTAACTACGTGATTGGAAATAAAGCACCTTTGATATGTCAATGTAACCTAGAAGGATCAGAGCTGAGTTAGACTTTGGGGAGGTGGAATTTCAAATCTCGCTTTTATTTCCTCTGGATCTATCTTAATCCCATGATGTATTTTAATCATTATCATCCACAAGTCAAGCAGTAGTGAATCCAAAAAAAAATTTGATTTAAATTTCCAGTGTTTAGGATTCCAAATGTCAAAGTGGTGTGATTACTTCTTAAACCAAGTGTGTGGAATTAGTCTCTATTTTGCTAAATTGGTAACACAAGGAGAGTACCAATTAAAAAAGAGTTCTATTAATTCTTTTGAGATTTCATCTTCAAATTCTACATCTTTTTCAATGCTAAAAAATAAGGATCCTTTACAAATATTTTGACTCTAATAACCACTCAACTGGGGTCATACTTTAATTACCAACTTAGCCACAATATAGGTAGATAGTGTGGGTTAGAGCTAAAGTGTTAACATATTATTTATTTTTCTTGTGTATAGATGATTCTTACCTGTTTCGATTTGTAGCAATTGCTTTTTCTTCTTCTTCATTATTTCCTTCTTAAGGAAAAGTTTTACGTTGTTCCTATTTACATCAAAACAATAGAACAACCTATAGTGTATGACTCATCATCCAAGCTAGACTATAAGTCAATGGACAATGTAGGTGTTCCATTTTTTCTAATGTAGTGAAGAAATGATAGACTGTATGTCAATGAAAACTGTATGTTTGGTCTTTTTCCATGATTACTATGCTGCTTTTAGTGAATCTATCACCTAATCATAAGTTTAAAGAGGTGAAGAAATGCTAGAAACTATTTGAGGTTCATCATTATCATGAGATGATATTTCTTCTTCTTCTTCTTCATCTTCTTCATCTTCTTTTATCCTACCTTATTTTTTTTATATTTTCTTTTCCTTCTTTTTTTTTTATCACCAAATCATTTTCTACCTCTTCTTGGATGTTATTCTTATTTTCTTATTTTTCTTTAATAAGAATTTTTTCTCTTTTTTTTCCTAGCTTTTGAACTATAGATAGTTCTCTAGAAAAGAGCACTTATTTTTTCGACATATAGTATAATCCATCATCATAGTTTCTAACTTCTTGATTTGAGAATGGTTGTAAGTCACACTTAATGCAGAATTCCACAAAGTCTCCCCAATACTTGATGCATTGATGGAGGGAAGAAGGTATCACTAGGTCATCCCAACAATGCGTTGATTGATTTCTCATAATCAATAATTTGGAACTTCTCCTGAATTTGGAAGTCTCAAATCTTGAGTAAGAGAGTTATGGAGCTTAAAGCTTTTTCACGTATCTTACTAAATCTGCATAACAACATCTTATCAAATAAAAGCTTTTGGTTATCAATGTAAAGGTATTTAAAGGTTATCAAATTCATTATCTTCACCAATGCGCCGATGAACAATAAATTTAGATAATCAAAATTATCTAACAATCATAGAAATGTAAAGCAGTTGATTATGATCGATTGTCCCTGGTATGAGGTCATTATTAGTAAAAAATTGTTTAAAAATTCATTGAAGTTGTTTACCTCTCCATCTAAGGGATTATATGTCAGTTGAGCCATATAGATTTTAAGATCTAGTAAGGCTTTAATCAATGAATCTCTCATCTCTTTAGACAAGATAAGAGTAATGTAGATACTGAGTTTTACTGACAACTTTCTTAAATGAGGCAACATATTGTAATAAACCTTAGGTAGAGTATCCACATGCTTATCCTGTGAAGGAGCATCCTATGGAAGGGCCACTGAGTGATTAGGGCTAATTATTGGTGTAGATTTTTTCAAGAAGTAATTTGTGAGATGACAATACTTTACCGCTTTGAAGGTTGATTTCAAAAATATCATTTCTAGTGACAACTACCAATTATTATAAGTCTTCTTGAATCCATTCTTCGGATTGTTTAGAGTCTAAAAATTTTATCAATCTTAATATGCATACCTTGGAAATTGAGAATAGAGATATCATTATCAGAAAAGAGATTGTTGTCCAAAGAAGTTTTACAAACAAGTACCTGGAACAGATGCTAGAAGTACACTTCAACGGGTTAATCTTCAAATTATATTTTATCAGACATTCAAAGATAGTCCTTAGATCTTAAAGATGGTCGTCTTTGGAATGACTTTTCACCACTACATTATCGACGTAACATTTGATCTGGTAATGCAGCAAGTCATCAAAGATATGTGTCAAAGTACGTTGGTAGGTTGGCCTAACATTTTTCAAGTCATTCAGAACGTCATCTGATGTTTCATTTTAGAGGCCATCCAAATTTGATTGTATCCAAAGAAGCCTTCTATGAAGGAGAG